GCACCGCGGCTCACCGCGCCACTCCAAAGGTCGCCGTTGCAGCAAAACGCATTGTGCCCCTCCAGCTCGTTGCCCCATCGGTGCTTCGCGCCGTCGTAGCAACTACAACGCACGTCTCTCTCGCCAGCTGCTTGCAGCACCACCGGTCGCCACCACCGCCGTCGGTGTCCTCGTGAATGGTTGTAGCAATCGTCAAAATGACAGTAGCAAAAAACGACACCAGTTGCATCAGAAGGGCGGTCGTTGCCGCTTGCCGGCGCCGCCGTTGGTGTGCTGGTGAACCGTTGTAGCAATCGTCAGCACCAGTAGTAGCAAAAAACAATGCCAGTTGCAGCAAAGCGTTGTCGCAACGTCGCCACCGTCAGTGTACTCATGAACGGTTGTAGCAATCGTCAACGCCGGTAGTAGCAAAAAACGACACTAGTTGCAGCAAAAAACAGCGGCGGGTCTCGACATCGTCGTGAATGGTTGTAGCAATCGTCAAGGTTGGTCGTAGCAAAAACGCCGACGGTTGTAGCAAAAACATTGTCGCCACTGTCATGTCGCGGCATCATCATGATTGGTTGCAGCAGTCGTCCATTGCTGGTCCCACCATCCTTTAGGCCTGATGCAACTCCGTATATTGCTAGTTCTAGGCTCTTGCATTCATGGTAGCATGGGGGCATTGTGATGATGGAGCGGGTTTGAAGACAACAGAGAGACTGAAGCTGAGGAGAGAAAACGAGTGGAGGAGGATGCATGCGGAAAGAGATAGGCCGAAGGAAAAACAGATTGCATTGGACCACAAGCCAGTGATACGCGTTGGATGCGATCGGCGGAATTTCGGCCGGTCAACCGTGTACGAATGTTTACCTTGACTATATCGGGTACACCGCTATGGTGTTTTCACAAAAAGGTCCGTGTGGTTTTTATGAATTAAACCCACCGTCCCTATGTATGTTGATATGGGAAACATTCTAATTTTGCAAATTCACCCCCGCATTTTGCGCTCCTTTCCACATCTTATCCGCCGGCTGGAAGGCCTCTGTCACGCATGACTACACCCGCCGCGGGGACGCTGCGGCCGGCATGGCCGCCTTTGATGTGGCCATCTCCGGCCTGGACACGGCGCCTGACCTCTGCCTCACCGCGCATCAGTACAACCAGCTCCTCCGCCTGCTCGGCTCCGTGGACCACGTCGTGTTCCCCGTCCACCCCGCCGCCGCCGCGGGCCGCGTGTTCGTGCACATGCTCTAGGCCAGGGCGCCTAGCTTCGAGGCCACCATCACCTCGCTGGCCCGCATCGTCACCGTCGACGTCAAGGGCGCCGACGAGGCCTTCGAGCTCGTAGGAGGGAGAAGTATGGCCTGGCGGCGTGCCTCCGGTCCTACAACCCCATGCTTAGCGCTTTTCGGCGTGCTGGGGAGGCCGGCATGGCCTATGCGATCAAGGTCCACATGGCGGCATTCGCCGTCTTGCCGGAGGAGGCTGAGGAAGTCACGCTCCTGGAGGTGAGTGCCAAGGTGGGGGATGCAGACAATGTGTATGAGTATATGCACAAGCTACAGTGAGCCATGGGCTGCGTGATAGAGGAGACCGCTAAGAGCATCTCTAGCCACGCCCCAACAGGCCCCAAGGCCATTTTTTAGCGCCGACACCGAAAAATCGGCCTAGTCGCGCCCCCACGAGCCTGTTTTTCGCCGGATTGGGCCGAAATTGGCGCCGGCGCACCCAACCCGAACCCGGCGCGCTGGGGGCGCCCGGGGGCACCGACGCGAACGTTTTGGCACGAAAGAGTGGCGGGATCGGCGCGTCAGCGAGATGAAGGCTGGTCGTCCTCGTCGTCTCGGTTTTCCCGTGGGGAATCAATGCCAAGGCTGCCGCCAGTCGGCCTGCCATTGATTCACGGGCGGCGAAGTGCGGCGACGCCGCCCCGCCTTCCGCCACGCGTTCGCATGTGGCCGCCCCCGAGCCGCTATAAAAGGCGAACCTGGTCGCGCCGGTGAGGCACCCATCTCCCCCTCCTAGCCGCCGCACTTCCTCCCCTCTCTCTCTCTCCGCCATTCGAGCCCCTCTCTCTCCCCCGACAACCATGAGCGGGAGGTACCCCGGCGATGCGGCGACAGCCAACGGTTTCGGCCGCCGCTTGCTGCATGAGTGGGAGGCCTACCTCCTCCACGAGGCCAACTACCCCGCGTCGCCCGACGTACGTGCTCCGTCGCGGTGGAGGCTCAGTGCCGGCGGGGTCCCTGTCCCCCCTCTGCCCGTCCCCGAGACGCCCGCCTATTTCCACGCCGAGATCGAGCGTGCACGGGCGCCCCTGACGGCCGAGGAGCGGGTGCTCCCGGAGTACGCCACCGGCAACCACGCGGCGTGGGCCGCGTACTTCAGACGCCGATAGGAGGAGCGGCTCGCCTCCACCAACAACGCACCGATGCCGCGTGGCCGCAACAACAGTGAGGGCCGCCGCCTATGGTGGGGCGTCCTGGGCCGCACGCTCAGCGGCGTCCTCGCGCACCTCGAGGGCGGCAACGACCCGCCGTTCGAGTACCCGACCGCTCGGGGTGGCGGCGCGTGGCTGCCGAGGAGGATGATGGGATGGTCATCTCCTCTTCCTCCTCCCCCTCCCGATCCTCCTCTCACTCCTCCGGCGCGCCGGCGTTGGTCAGCTTCAAGCCAGAGTCGTCCCAGACGCCGCTCGGTAGGCGCACCCACGGTGCCGGCCTCGTCATCAGCGACGGCGGCCGTGGCTCCTCCTCCTCGGCCCCTCCTCGCGTGGTCAAGCCGAAGAGGGAGCCAAGGCTGGCGACGGTGAAGCCGGAACCGGGGCTCGCCGCCGTGAAGCCGGAGCCTGCTCTTGCCGAGGAGGCCGACGAAGAAGAGACCGCCTTGAAGTGGGCGCGCGAGGACTACGCGCGCATGGAGCTGGACCGCCAGCACTGTGCCCTGGAGGAGATCGCCGAACGCCGCCGCCGTGAAGCAGCGCGCTGGGGCGAGGGGTCGAGCAGCGGTGCCGGCCGTGTCAAGGAGGAGAAGCAGGAGGACGACGCCGGCGACGACTACGCCCTGCTCAGCACCTACTTCGGCCCGTAGTTTAGGGTTTTTTCTGTCCATTTTATTCGTGTAAAAAACGTCTAAATTTCGCCGAAATATGTCATGTTTGTTGAAATGTGGCCGTGTTTGCTGAAATTTGGCCGAACTGTGGGGACGTCTGGGGCCCGACCTGGAGGCGATGGCTGGGGATGTGCTCGCCCCCACGTCGAAAAAACGCCGGCTCGCCCTCAAGCAGCGATTTTCGGCGCGTCTTGGGGGCGCAACGGCTGGAGATGCTCTAAGGTGTTGGAGGGCTGGTTCCAGAGTGAGGAGGCGATGACGGCTGGTAAGGCTGGTGGCCCTCGACCGCAGCACGACGCTGGACCTATCCCATGGCGGCACTGGCTGCTGAGGACAAGGTCATGGTTGATGGTTTACCACCTAAAGCTGTTGACCTGGAACAAGAGGGCAAGGTGGATGTGAGGGGATTTTTTATTTTGCCACTACTTACTTCGCACTTTGACGATTAGCCACTCGTTACTTTGTATTTGCTTACTTGCCACTACTTAGTTTGAAATTGAGTGTTTTTCCCCTATCATTTGGGACCCACGTGGAAATCACCGGAGTGCCCCTGCCCGTTCGATTCACCGAGGAGACGAGCTCATCTCCTCCCTCGTTCCCCATCTGGCTCTCGTCTGTCGCTATTGGTGCTCGACAGAAGACAGCGGCGGTTCGTCCCGGCAATTCCTGGTGGTCCTCGACAGCGGCGACTAGGTCTCTCTCTCTCTCTCTCTCTCTCTCTCTCTCTCTCAGCCCGCCGCCTGTTATGACGCAGGTGGTGCTGTTTGCCGCCGCTGGTCCCGCGTGCACGTGCGTCGCCGTCGCTCTGTTTTACCGCTGCTGCTTCTTGTCGGCCTATACTGGTGCTGATGTTCATGGCCGGCCCATACTGCTGCTGTTTGTTTGTGGCCCTGTGTGTTCTTGCTGCTTACTCGTGGTCAGCGGCAGACGTGGTGGAAGCGCTCGCTGCTGCTCGGCTCCACTTGGGCTCCGTAGTTCAGCCTTGGCGTGGGCCTGGGCGCCGCTGTCTTTACTGCTGCTCCCCGCTGTTACCCATCAGCTAGCTGGTGCCGACCTTGTCCGCTGCTCATAGAGGAGCGCCACCGTCTACTGTCGTGCAAACAAGGGATGAGATTGAGTTCTTCGCGTGCGTCTGAGTTCGTGGCAAATAGGCACACAAGGGTATACTTGTCCAGTGCATTGTGCATGTAATATGTTTGTCATTTGAAATTATTTTTTGTGTAGAAAATGGCAAAAAATCAAATGGCAAACAAAAGAGTGGCAAAAGATCAATTACAATCTAAGCAGTGGCAAATTGTCAAAGTCCAAAGTAAGTAGTGGCTGAAAATCAAATCGCCCGGATGTGAGGGTGGAGGCGCATGCCGTGGTGCAGGATGTTGTGGTGTCTGAAGCACCTGAGGTGTCGGAGCCAGAGGTGAAGAGCAAGGAGGTGGTGGTCCGGGACACAACCAAGATGCATTCTGCGCATCAACCAGAGACCAAGGCAGAGGAGGTGCTGGTCCGGGATACGGACACAAATGTTGTGGTGTCAGAACTACAAGCAAAGAGTGAGGTGTCATGGTCTCGTGAGGCAGGTGGTGCGCATACTACAGAGGCACAATGTTTCTGCTTGTTTACCATCCATCCCCAACATTTTGAAGCTGCGATGTCTCATTACGCGTGGTGTACAGAGGTAAATAGCACTGAAAGAGATCATCAATCAATCACTGGTTTCTCATCTTAGATTCCACCAAGCAACTCCTAACCGTTGCTATCCGTTCTCAGATGTATTCAGCAGATCAACAAGGCGAACAGAGGCAAACTTACCCCGGAGGAACTGAAAGAGAGACAGGGCAAAGCTATGCAGGACCCTGAAATCCAGAACATCCTGACGGACCCTGTGATGCAGCAGGTAAGTTCATCATCAGATGTCTATTTCTCCTCTTTCTTGGGCCAGATCTTGCTTTGGCGAACGGTGCGATTCCGTTGAGGTGTCTGTTGTCTGTAGGTGTTGATTGATTTCCAGGAGAATCCAAGGGCTGCCTAGGATGGCTCGGGAGCACGAACGCAACGGCGGACGCGATTGGGCATCGTTGGGTTCAGTGATTGGAGACGTGGCCATTCATCCCCGACGGATCTGTGCCGCCACAGCCTGAGAAAGCCTAGAGAAGGGAGGGTACGGACGAGCACCTATAGGACAACCCGCCATCACGACCAGCGATTGTCCACTCCGACAATATCCCTGTGGTCATAGTCGAATCCTCCTGTCCTCTCGCGCCGTGTATAGTCAGACTTATTTGCATGCGCCATAGGTTTTATGAACATGGAGGTGTAGTCACCCGAGGTGCAGAAGCTCCATCACCTAGCTCTACCTCCTCCACTACGCTGACAAGTAAGCTAATCCCTTCTCATCTACATTGCTTCCTCCCTGCCTGTGATTTATTACTTCGAGCCTGCTGTTGTTTTATCATATATACAGACTTATCTATGTTTAAGTGTGACCATTAGCTTATGGAACAGGAGAAACAAAGTGTTCTTTAGCAGATGCAAACCTTTCCATGCTAGAATTGGACCAAGAATTACTTGTGTTGCCTGTTTGGTATGTATAAACATAATTTTCTTGGATGTCATAGAAAAATCATGCTATAGCATAATTTTTAATATTTGTAACTTGGAATAAGATCATGAAAGTAATAGAGCGCTTCTTGAATGCATGGAAACAAAAAAAGGATATCTCAGAGTCCATATGTCATATATTCTGAAACTAGTGCACATGGATATGTATATTCTTGGTTAGTTTTTGTTCTGTTTCTATTGTATATGCTCTAAGAGTCTAAAAGAAGATGGGGTAGCGCTACTTGATTTCCTGTAAAATTTCAGTAACAGTCAAGCAATAGTGACCATTGAGTCAAAGCTCATGTCGATGGTCGATTATTGACTGTTGCACTTATATAGAGTGCACCCATATAATATCTGCTGGTTTGTCTGACTTATTTGATCTATATGTTGTTTTTACGAGCAACATGAAGATAAAAACAATCTCAATTAAGTTCACACAATTATATAATTTTGGTTTGCTGAAAGGTAATGCCATGTTATTTCAATACTACTTATCTGGTTTGCGTCTGTTATTTACTGGTCTATCTTAAATAAGGAACTAAACTTTTGTGTTGATTTACTTTTTGAGGACATTTAGTTAATGATTTTCCTTATGATCCTTCTCCTTACCATAAATTCAACTAATTTAAGTTTCATCTTCCAAAGTTGTATATACCCCAAAAAGTACCTAGCGAAAAGAAAATCAGAGAGATAGACATTTGAAAATCAAACCTTTCTGGAAAAAATTCCATGTCGACAGTAGGCTTCATATAAATGCAATAAATCCATTAGCTGATGCGTCCTATCATTAGCTCTTATCAATAATTCTATTAAATTTTGAAGCTGACCTGTCCGCCCGTTGGCTTTGGTTGCCACAACAACGGATTGCTTGGGATACTAATAGGATGGCTTGGGATTTGGGAGTACGATTCCCGAACGTGTTACTATCATATTTGGCTTGCAGTGGTTGTGCAGGAGGAAGATGTTGCTTGATTGGAGTCCCTCGGAGCCTAGCAGTGCTGCTCGGCCCTATGCATTCCATTGGTCGCCTCGGTAGGTAATTGGGATCCTCACGCTACCAATTTGGTCATCCCTAGGAAACATCAAGGAGATGATGAGACTGCATCTTGAGAAGAAGCATTATTTACAACTCAGTATTATGTCATGCATGGAAGAAGCACTCAATCTTATTACTAACTACTTCCTCTGTACACAAATATAGGACGTTTTAGACTGAACATAGAAGTCTCTAAAACCTCTTATATTAGTGTACAGACAGAGTAATAACATGTAAACAGTGTGTTGCGTTCCTATTTGATCGTGGATTTCAAGCATACTGCTAACAAAATGTTGGAGAGCTTGGCAGGTTTCAACTAATTCAAAACATGCCAATACTAAATTTCTAGCCTTCATATTGCCATGTATATCCCATATAAATTTCTAATGTTTATGATTAGTATAACTACATTTAGCAGTTGTTGCGAGCGAAACACAATTCGGTAGAGCAAATTAGTTGTTGTTGGACTCAAAACAGTAGGCGCCAATTTGCTTTTGTGCAGTGGGTGGGGAGAAATTATATATGGTAGAAGCCAACCTGGTCGTTTATGTTATTTGTTGGACGACATTATTTATCTGTTTGGTTACTTGTGCAGAACTTTATTTGATTGCTGAAATTGAGCTTGCATTAGCAGTTTTTCTTTTTGAATGTAGTCCCGGTAATTCTTTCAGTTGGGAGATTAAACCCTAAATGAGTTATTATATTCATCAGTGATTGTTGCTTGACTTTCGCTAGAGATTTTTTTCATAAGAAATGGGTGTTGTAAATGAAGGATTCCATTCCCCACTTTAATAATATTTGAGGGACTATATATATTCATGGTATATATTAATATCATAGAACATGTTATATATTTTTTGTATATATGGAGATACTATTTTCTATACACATAGTGGTACTACTGGAGAAAAAGAGTGGTGAATGCTACATATGTAGAGAAATTGTAATTTTACCTGAGAATTGCTTTTCTATTTAAACATGAAATCTGATTATTGACAAAAAATTCTACAAACCCCTTAATTTATGGTACACTAATTTTCCTGCCTGTTATTTGGTAGGGATGAGGTGTTCAAGTGTCAATACTAGATGTAAGTAGTACAAACTACCAAGATAGCACATTTTCTGAATAAAAAGTACATGTTATAATACATGAATAAAAGTGTCGTCATTTCAAACCTAACTGGAAAAAATTTGCGCATATATTCTCTAAGAGAGAATAACCTAATGAGATCAAGAGTTTCCATTCCCACCATTTGAACCTTGATTTCTAGCCTTCTAGCCTTCCCCAAGTTGCTTTCCACTCAAATCCTTCTTCCACCATAACTAAATCTGTGTGAGAGAGTTGAGTGTTGGGGAGACTATCGTTTGAAGCACAAGAGCAAGGAGTTCATCATCAACAACCAATCTATTACCATTTGGAGAGTGTTGTCTTCTAGATTGGTTAGGTGCCGCTTGGGAGCCTCCGACATGATGTGGAGTTGAACCAAGAAGTTTGTAAGGTCAAGGAGATCGCCTACTTCGTGAAGATCTACCCGAGTGAGGCAAGTCGTTCGTGGGTGATGGCCATGGTGGGATAGACATGGTTTCTTCTTTGTGGACCCTTCATGGATGGAACCCTCCATGGATATCAGAATCGGGGCTCCGCGGACTCAAGAAGGTTCAAACTTTGGGATACGCTTGCTACCTTCGCTAAGCCCCGCCTCGCGACCCACAAGATCACGATGATGCTTCGGCGTACTCGAGCGAGAGGAAAGGTGAACAATGGACAAAGCAGTTTACCCAGGTTCAGGCCACCTTGTGGTGTAATACCCTACTCCTCCTTTGTGGTTGGATTGCCTCGAGAGGTAGGATGAACACGAGTGTACAAGGGGGGAAGGTTGTCTTCGGGGGATATTGATCGATATTCCTTTATGGCGACACCCCAGCCTTACTTATACTGGCCTTGGTCCTCTTCCCCCGAAAACATATGGCGGGAAGGGTTGGCACAACGACCAGTTTGAAGGGGGCCAGGGGTGCAGCTTATCCCGACTAAAGGTGGTCTTCTCCTCCAAAATCCACCTACCAAGATGCGCTGGTGGGATTGGTGATGACCTCTGTCCTGGTGAGCCCGTCGTCCTCGTCTTCTTGCATTGAACGGGTAACCTTTGGGAACCGCTTTGGGAACCGGTGCACCATCCTTGCTTCCTTAATTAGCATGAAGGAGGAAAGCCTCCTTATCCTCACCTGTTGGCGCCCCTCTAGCTCCGCCTGTCGCCACGCACGTCACCCACATGAGGGCACCGGGCTGCGTGAGTCCTCTAAATCAGCTCTTGACTTGCTCGCCTGCGCGAGGAGCCTTGGGAGGCCGCCCCGCGAGAGGGCCTCACGAGGATCATGGTGACACCTGATGACACACGCCCCGCAAGGCAAAGCCCTCGCGAGGTTCTTGCTTCTGAGGTTCCGGCGGTGGGTTTGCGCCGGGCCTTCTGGTGGCGCCACGCACTAGGCCACAGGTAGACGTGCCTGGGTACCCCAAGTCCGATGGGCCAGACAGTAGCCCCCGGGACCGCAGCATGCATGACTCCGCCTATGAAGGGAGGGGGTGAAACGACACGGGCCCCAATCGACTGCGGGCCTAGCTCGATGCTACCTCTTGAGCACTGCGTTGGTTTTCCCTTGAAGAGGAAAGGGTGATGCAGTAAAGCAGCGTAAGTATTTCCCTCAGTTTTTGAGAACCAAGGTATCAATCCAGTAGGAGATCATGCTCAGGTCCCACACACCTACACAAACAAATAAGAACCTCGCAACCAACGCGATAAAGGGGTTATCAAACCCTTCTCGGTCACTTACGAGAGTGAGATCTGATAGATATCATAAGATAATATTTTTGGTATTTTTATGATAAAGATAAATAAAGATGCAAAGTAAAATAAATGACAAAGGAAATAACTAAGTATTGGAAGATTAATATGATGGAAGATAGACCCGGGGGCCATAGGTTTCACTAGTGGCTTCTCTCAAGAGCATAAGTATTATGGTGGGTAAACGAATTGATAGAATTGAGCATAGTTATGAGAATATCTAGGTATGATCATGTATATAGGCATCATGTCCGAGACAACTAGACCGACTCCTGCCTGCATCTACTACTATTACTCCACACATCGACCGCTATCCAACATGCATCTAGAGTATTAAGTTCAAGAGAACAGAGTAATGCTTTAAGGTAGATGACATGATGTAGAGGGATAAACTCATACAATATGATATAAAACCCATCTTTTTATCCTCGATGGCAACAATACAATACGTATCGGTTCCCTTTCTGTTATTGGGATCGAACACCGCAATATTGAACCCAAAGCTAAGCACTTCTCCCATTGCAAGAAAGATCAATCTAGTAGGCCAAACCA